AGAGAAAGCCGCTTAAGTTGAGGGTGAGTGGTGGATTATGACACCTCTCCCATGAGCAGCATTCCTGACATTCTGATAATAGTGACTGACCTCGGCCATGTCCGGACGGACAGACACCTGTTGGAAAGGCACCTGCCCCAGGTTACAGCTACTTAGCAACAGAGGGGGCTGAGGACCCGCCATGGACCATACCTGTGTTTAATGTTCTTACTCGGCGATGCTGCCTTCCCCCCGGGGGCAAGAGGAGTTTCCCCTCCATCTCAGGGACACCAAAAAAGGGATTAGACACCTTCCACCAGCAATCAGGGCCGAGGGGCCTGAGAATTCCTCCCCTCCTGACTTCCTTGTTCTTGGGATCCTATTTTCCAGGTCTCCAGAGACCAGAGCCTTAAGCCCCAAGTTACTGCTCTCCCCTGTCCCCAGGCCTGGGAGTCCTCCACACTGGAGAGTGTGGACACAGAGGCTCAAGACCTGGCCCTCCGCCCCGCCAAGGCGGCCTGCTAGGAAGGAGCTGGGCTGGAGGGCTGCAGGCCCCAGAATAAGCAGAGAGCCCACCTGTCGGGCCTTGTTCAGTGCAGCCTGGTGGCCCATGTCCCGCCTCCTCCTGCTACCGGTGGGGAAACTGAGGCCCGGAAAGGGGAAGAGACCTCTCTAGAGAGTTCCTTTTCAGTCCTCTCTCCCTTTGTTAACTCAACCACTGACTTTCTTTGAGGTTTCCTGTGTGTGGGTGTGCTGGCACCAGGACTGAAGAACAGGAGCGTGGGGAATGTGTGTGTTTGGCGTGGGGAGGAAGATGGAGGTGAGAGGGAAGACTGCCTGAAGCCTAAAGCGCCCCCCAAACTAGGTTATAAAATATGTTTCAAGAGACGGGGTCTTCACCCCCAGGAACTCGCTGTTCCAGGTTGCGTGAGGGGTGGTCTGCCAGGCAGTGTGGCCGCCTGGGGCAGTGCAGCGGAGGGAAGGAGCCGTGTTTCCCGTTTCCTCGGCTGGGACCTATTGCAGTGGGCGGCCCTGCGGTCAGACAGGAGTGCAGGCAGGGCCTCGTGGCAGGGGATGGCTCCGGCAGCCACTGTGCCCTCCCTGCCTCCCAGGTGAGCCTCACCTGTCTGTGTGTGTCCTGCCCCCTCCTCCAGCCGGTTCTTTGAAAATAGGTTTGGGGATGGGTAGGGGGAGGACAGCCCCCACCACAGCTACACGGAGTCCGACCTGGCTCAGCAGCTGCCCCTGGGGGCTGGGCGGTTGTCGCTGGGCTATGGACATGAACCTTGAGGAGGACGGTAGGAAACAAGCCCCTAGATCGCAGGTGGGACTGCAATGGGGTCGCTGCACCCTGGGCCCCTGGATGGAGCCAGGCATGAGTGGGCTGTCTGGGAAGACGATGCGGAGGCAGCTGCTCCTCACTGGGACAGCATTGTCTGCTGCGGATAAAGAAGTGGGGACACGGTTTCTGGGAGGGAGAAGTAAGGTGAGCTGCCAGCTGGACCCTGCGCCGGGTGGGTGTGGGCCATAAGGTCTTCCCCAGACCCAGAGACCCCGGGTTCCCTAGGAGGGCAGCTGAGGTGGCAGCTGGTAAGGGTAGGGAGTGGGGGGAAGACGCCCTGTCCAAGCAAGATGGAGGGGAGAATCGTGGGATGTGGAGGGGAGAATTGTGCCCTGCACCCAGCTGGGAGAGGTGTCTGATGGCCACTGAGGAGAAGTGGGCGGTGGGGTGGGCCCACTGTGAGTGTCCCCTTACGATACCTCCCCCCCGCCCCCCCCCCATCGTACTCACTGTTGCTGCACTGCCGCCCGCCTCGCCAGTCCTGGCCCGTGTCCGCCCAGCAGTTCCGGGTCCGGGTGGGGTACTCGTTCCCAGCCTTGGAAAAATTCCCCACCTGGGGGCCATAGTAGACGCCCTGGGAGCCCAGTCCACCGAAGCCCGCCACGTGGGGGTAGCCGGAGAGCAGGCTGCTGTTCGGCGTGGCCACGGGCCTGCTCAGGATGTCTGTGATGCCGTGCGGGGTCCCGGCGGCCAGCTGTGGGCCCAGCCCCGGGGGGCTGAGCTTGTAGAAGGAGTTCTGCACCGAGTACTGGCACACGGGGGCCTTCATCTCCGAGAACTGAGCCAGCGGCGTGTTGTTCAGCAGGAACGTCCCTTGCAGGTTGGACTCCATGTTCCCTGGGTCAGGGTGAGGGGGGGCAGGAAGCCCAAATCCTAAACCCTGAGGCCCCGAGATCGGGCCCAGAATCCCATGGTAGGTTTGGAGGCTCGAAAGCGGCCCCGGATCCCACCGCCTTCCCACCTAAGGCATCGGCCCGGCTGCTGCCAGGGACTGTCGCCCACGTCACCTGCTCGGAAGTCAGGTGCTCCGGGCCAGGTGAGAGCCTTGCCCGCACCCCTTCCCTCTCTCCCTGCCAGGCCCGGGGAAAGGCGGTGCCCACGCCTCAGCTCAGACCCCTCCTCTGCCTCGGAGTCTGGGGACCCTCCATGAGAAGTTTTAAGTTCAGAGAAGCCACATTTCCCTGATAAAGATATGGCCCATTAGAATACAGACCGGAGACTGGCTGAGCCGCGCCAGCCGCGTCGCCATTGGTTGAAATCCACATGGGCCTCACATTGGCTTTTCCTAGACAAATTGCACTTTGAAAGATTGACTGTAAAATCAGCCAGTGTGTGTGTGTGTGTGTGTGTGACAGAGAGAGAGAGAGAGAGAGAGAGAGAGAGAGAGAGAGAGAGAATGAATCTGAAAGCTCTGTTCATTCTCAGAGGGTCCACCTGCTCCTGGTCCCCAAGTCCATCCAGCATCTAGGAAAAGGTGGGTGGGTGGGGGCTGGAGGCTCCGGAGGCAGCTGCTGGCTGTCAGTCTCAGTTCTTGCAGCTGCTCTCCTGAAGGCAGGAGGCCCTGTTCAGGGGTCGCTGTCCGGAGGTGCTGGGTCAGGCCCCTGGGGGCAGATGCCCGAGCCTCCGTGGAAGTGTGCAGTCTGAGCGTGGATGCCTGTTTCCCTCCTCCCTGCTGGGATGGGTAAGTGGGGAGGCTGGGCTTTTGGGAGGGGAATGCAGATCCCTGTGGCTTTCGGGAGGGGAATGCAGATCCCTGTGGCTGGCCTGAGAGCCTGGGGGTGGGAGTCTGCCAGGCAGAGGGGGCAGCTCTGCCTCCGGGCAGCCTTCCCTGATCACCTCTGTCGTCCCTTCCTCCTCCACCGAGGAATCATTCGTGCCTCTGCTGGGGCAATTGCCATATTCTGTCTGGCCTGGCACCTGGGTTGGGAATCTTTGTTGGCTGAGAAGCTGTTGCTTCAGCAGTGGTTCCCTGTGCCGGGCACTTGGTTGGCGCTCAGTGTATTTTTGATGGATAAAACCAGATTGAATCACAGAGCACCTACATCCCTACCCCCCCTGCCCCCACCCAATGAATTTTTACAACATACAAGGCTTTTCTGGGCTCTCATTTTACAAACAGGGAAATAGCAGTGAATGACTTGGTTAAGGGGCAGCACCCTTTCTTGCAGTGTCTGGTTTTGTTCATGGAAATCAGCATGTTACCGGTCTGAACAGACCAAATGCCAGGAAAAAGCGTGACTCCTGGGCGGGTGGACTTCTGTCCCTCCTCTGCCCGGCACCCCAAGCCTTTCCTGACCGCGGTGAGCTCCTTGGCTCTCACTCCCCACAGGCGTGCTCTGGCAGGTGGGAGACCAGAAGCGCCCTTTTGCCAGCTTGGTTTCCAGCGGGAGGCCGAGGACCCAGGAGTCAGGGGGCTCCCTCTCGCTCAGAGCCCGACTCCCCACGCTGCTCATGGTGGAGCTGGTCTCTGAGCCATGCTCTCTCTAGCATAACTCAATGCAAGAAAGGCCTCACAAAGGCTGTGTGTGGAATTGTTTTTCTAGAAGTTTGGATTAAAAACAAGAAAAAAGGTTTTAATCCATCTGAGTGGGCTGTGCTACCAAGCTGCTATTTTAGGAAACTTAGTTCCAAATCCCAGTGTTGCCCCCGAGCCCCACCCAGGCAATGGAACCTGTGCTTTTGAAAACCCTCTGGGCCATGCGGTTGCACAGCCCTGGCTGGCCCCGTGGTCTGGGTGGCTTTTTTGATGCTGAGAGAGAAGCTTCAGAGTGAGGGCTGGGGGTATTCTCAGGAACCTGCCCCTGTGACTTTGTCACCGGCAACAATGGGAACTTCTGAGAAAGAAGAGCTGCAGTGAGTGATTTGGTTCTTATTTAATGTCAACTTGGCAAAGGCATTCATGTTCCGGGATCCCAGGATGACACACAAGCGCTTAATCCGTTCTCCCATTTGACGGATGAGGAAACGGAGGCCAGCGGTGATGGCCAGCCCTGCATGCAGTGTTAGGAACTAATTGTTAGGAACAGGGTGCTTTTCCCAAAAGTTCTCCAACTTTGAATGGCATTAGTGCAGGGGCCAGACGCCTTCACAGGGGTCGCTAGGGGCTCCCCCTGAGTGTATGCCAGCCACGGGCTCAGCCATGTACCTTGGTGGTTCGTGATGTCCCCCTCCACCTTGGACTAGCCCCCATCTTGTAGTCATTAGGTGGGTCAGAAATCTGTTCCACCATCTCAGGGGTTGGGGAGCTGCTCCCAGAGTGGGTGGCCCTAATTAAGGGGGACGGTCCAGGTTTCTGGAAGCTGGGCACCTCGTTGGGGTGCAGGCCACCCTGCTGACTGATCCACCCTCAGGCTTCACTCCTGCCTCAGCCCCTCAAACCCCCCAAGGATGAACCGAGAAGGACAGATGGAGCCGTGTGCCATGAGTCAATTTCTTTATTAAGTTTGACATTTGTTCAGCTGGTGTAGGGAGAATGGTCTATACATCATAGTGGGCAAGGGGAATTCTCTCCCGATTACAGAGCATGTGGGAGAGAGTCAAGAAAAGATTTATTTTCATAACAATTAGAAAAATCAAGGTGATTCCAAAACTTCTAAAAAGCGTCTAGTGTGCAGACTGCAGCATTCTCTAGGCATCGTGTGGAGACCCCCAAACTCCTCCCCTAACAGCTCCTATTAGCAACCAGAGCGGGCAGCCATGCCGCCAGGGCCGGCCGCGGGGCCAAGCAGCCAAGCCGTACAGAGCAGAAGGTGCCAAAGCATAGGCTGGGCCGGGCGCAGCTCTGCGAGGGGCAACGGGGCGGCGGCAGCTGCGGCACGGCCCGGGCAGGACGGGACAGGATGGGGCGGAGGGCCCGGCGCCTGTCTTTCTCCGCGCAAGTGGCCCGCCCTGGGGACCGGCGGGCTCTGGCTGAGCCGCCCCGCCCCGCCCGCCCGCCCGCAGCCCTGCGCTCCTGCCCCGCAGGGAGGGCGGGCGCTGCACTTGCTGGGGCACAGCCCGGGGGCCTCAGGCCGCCAGCTCAGCCGTTCTTTTCCCGGGGTGGCCCCTCTGAAAGCAAAAACCCCCGGGGCCCACAGAAGCCCCTGGGGCGGGCCGGCGGGGGCTCCGTGGCGCTCGGGTTCCCCACTCAGCCCGGGCGCCCAGCTGGCCTGCTGCGCCAGGACCTGCGAGGCTGGCGAAGGCAGCAGGGCGGTGGGGGGCGCTGACGCTGAGGGGGTGTCTGTGCTACTTGGAAAGTGTGAATGTGTTCCGAGGACGCGTCAGAAGAGTGGCAGGGAGGAGGGTGACTGGCCCCCGCGAACAGTGGCTCTGGGACAGCCAGCAGAGCCTGCCGATCTCTCTCTGGCCCTGGAGGGCGCCCGCCGCGCAGGACGGGGCCGGTTGTGCTGATTTGGGCCTCCCTCTGCCGGAGGCTCTGATGTAACTTTAAGGCTCTTCCCGGGTGGCACCGAGGCTAGGAACAGCCAGCTGTCTGTTTCCTTCCTGCCCCGACCGGAGGCCTGGCCTAGGGGGGTCTCCTTCCTAGCCCCAGGCCTCCTGGTGGTCAGCTCTCTCCTCCTCCGGCTGGCCCTCCCCCGGGCATGTGGTCAGGAGTGGGCCCCTCACCCTCCTCTCCAGGTGGGCGGAGGGGCTTGGTCAGAGTGGGGAGACTGAGGCTGTCAGCCTAGGCCCCCCATCCCGCCGGCTGCCTGGACTTAGAGCACCGAGTTCGCTCTGGGAGACCTTGGGGGCAGCTGACTTCTGAGAAACCACAGATGCATTCCCCAGCCCTACTCCCTCTTTCACGGAGACAGGCTGTGGCTCCTCGCAGCCCCGAGAAGCCCAGAGCTGAGCTGTTGGTGCTGTGCACATACTGCTAAAGTGTTTCTATTGGTTTGCATAGTATTTATTATTTTTCATCTCCCCAAGGCTGATTACTGTACAGTTTACACTTTGAACGCAGACTACGATATAGGTGCTCGAAGATATAGAAAACCTCTTTTTTAGTGAACATACTGGTGCAATCCCGGGACAGACACCAACTGAGAGCCAAGACCCTATCGGACGGGGCACTGGCTCCCTGTGGGCCCTACAGCTACGCCTGGGGTCCTCACCTCAGCTTCTTAAGTCCCTAACACGAGGAACCCCGAATGCACTCCAAAGGTAATGATTTTCCATGGGAATATGATTAATACTGAAACTGGCAGAGAGAGAGAGAGAGAGAGAGAGAGAGAGAGAGAGAGAGAGAGAGAGGCAACATAAAAAAAATTCCAGTTTATCCACAGGAGATTCTATACAGCTTCAGACATCACAGTAAAATCTGTGTGTATACTGAGTAGAGGGGAGCGGTGCCTCTGTGTGTGTCCTTAATGTCATGTAGAGAGTTCTGGGGGGGGGCGGGGGGGGGCGGTCCACTGGGGAGAGGGAGGGGCTGTCACAAATGGAATGGGGGTGTGTGTGGGTAGGGAAGACTGGCAGATGAGGACATAGGATTAAGGTGCTGAACTGATTTCAAGCCTAGTTCTCTTTTTTTTTTCTTTCCAGGAAGACCATATAGATTTCTTAGAGATATTGAAAAAATAAGTACCCTGTAACAAGTCAAAATGAAAATGTTTTAAAAAAATATATCATCCCCAGCCACAAAGAGCCCTTGTTCACTTCTGCGTTCATGCGCTCTCTTGCGCTTGCTTTCTATCCCTCTCCCCCCCTCCCACCCCCCCATTCTTGCTGCTTTTGTCCTGATTCCCAACAGAACAGAGATCGGTTGTCGCTAGAGGCAGGATTGAGGACTGTAGGTCATGCGTCTACAGTCGGTCGTTCATGCGAATAGGAGACTAGAGGAAGTCCCTTACGGAGATCATGCCGTTAGCCTAGAGGAACATGTGCGCCGTTGTGCTGCCCTCCGGTCCAGCTCTCCTCCTGTGTGCATGGCAGAGTGTGTGGAGTTCAAGGGTTGGGTGTCGAGGTGTGATCCTAAGGGACACAAAGAGAGAAGGAGATACTTAGAATTTAAAGGTGCAACTCCCAGCAAAAACCCCAAATACTGAGTTTTGTGCTGGCTGCTCAGGCAGCGTCTGATTCAGGAAAAGCAGCCTCCCCAAGCAAGGTGATGAGCAGAGAGGTGTTGAGCTGGAAGCCCCTGACCTTCCTGGAATACCAGCCACCCTTCCCCACTCCCCACCCCAGAGGCTGCCTCTCAGAGGTGGCTGACCTGGCCGATGCTAGTTCCCTGCCATACAAAACCCTCCTGTGTGGGTGCTCAGAGCCTCGGAGAGGAGGCAGGAGGCTCTCATGCCTATGCAGTCACCTGGGGGAGAAATGAGTAGGTCTTGTACCTACGGAAGGGGCCATGATCATGAGCCAGGGCTTGTGCCAAGAGAGGGGCTAGGGTAGGCAGTGGGATCCTCTACTTTTTCAGTTCAGTGTAGCCAACATGCATCGATATCTGCTATGTGTCATCCCCGGAATCCCGGAGATGGAGGAGACAAGATCATGGCTCGAAGGGACAGCAGTGCCTCTTTGGTTCTGGTCCACAGCTCTTACTGTCAAGGGCCTCTAGCTCGTCTCCCCATGCCCCGTGGATGGACAGCCTCTGCTGTGGCCATGAGATCGTTGGAAGACCGGTGTAGTCTCCCTAAGATACTGTGCTTCAGGCTAGAAGACAGCGCTTCGCCTGCAGCATCAGTTCCACATTCTGCAGCCTGGGATTCACAGCAAGACCCCACTCCTGCCACCCCACAGTGCCTCATCCCCCAACCTGGGGTGAAACTCTGTTTCCAAGACCAGCCACTTGGGGTTGTCTGCAGGGACCTTGGGATAGACGAGGAAAAGGAGGACACTTAAATAAAGAGGAGCTGCCAATCTCCTGGGTGGCGCAGGAAGTGACACAGGAACGCAGAACCCCATTCTGTCCCCACGCAGAGCTGTCTGGGGCCCTATGGGTGACAGGGTTGGGGAGGAAGCTGGAGGTGACCAAGGTGAACTCACTCTGAATGGTTCTCTAGGAGTGGGAGGGTGGTGCTAGGTTCCTGGCCAGAGGCCTTCTACTGCTGTGGCTTGAAGGAGCTGTTACCCTGGAGGACAAGACTCTTCCGTCATAGTACCCTGCCTTCGAGCCCCCAGTGCCTGCCTGCTGCCTGCCTTGGTCCGTGGCTCTCCCCGCAAAGGTACTATGCACTCTCCTCTCCCCTAAAGTTCTGCCCACCTGATGACGCTGGCTCCCTCTTGTTTCTCCCCTCACAACCCTGGAAACTTCCCTCCTGTCACTACCTTTATTTAGAGCGATCACACAGTGTAGTAGTTAAGAGCATGAACTCTGGAGCCAGATTGCCTGAGGTTCATGTCCTGTCTCAGCCAATTTCCTGCTGTGTGACCTTGGTCAGGTTACTTACGCTCTCTATAACTCAGTTTCCTCTGTTGGAAAACAAGGGCAATAAGAAGATGCACCTCACCCAGGCTCGTTTGGCTCAGTGGGTAGAGTGTTGGCCTGTGGACTGAGGGGTCCAGGGTTTGATTCTGGTTAAGGGAATGTACCTCAGTTGCAGGCTCGATACCCTGCCCTGGGCCCTGGTTGGGGCACGTGAGATAGGCAATCAATTGATGTGTCTCTCTCACATCTATGTTTCTCTCTCTCTCCCCTTTCCCTTCCACTCTCTTAAAAAAAGTATCAATGGGAAAATATCCTCAAGTGAGGATTAACAAAAGAAGAAGAAGAAGAAGAAGAAGAAGAAGAAGAAGAAGAAGAAGAAGAAGAAGAAGAAGAAGAAGAAGCACCTCATTAGATTATTATGATGTTTAGAAGAACTAAAGGTATACAAAGTGCTTCGGACAGTAAACGGTATGTGAATGTAACTACAAATGGACTCTCTGGAAATGCTGTCGTCATTCCCTTCTCCTGTCTGCATTCTTCCCCTAGCTGCAGTACAAACTCTCTGAGGGCAGCAGCAGGCCTTACCCTTCCTGGTGGTCCCCCAGCTGCCTACCCCAGGGCTAAGCATGCCTCCAATAAGAGACCTTGTAAAATCTTGAGCCTGGGGAAGTCAGGCTACAATCTCTCACCCGCTTTCCTGCCCAGGCAGGGAGCAGAAGAGATCATTCTGTGGTGACTGCTCGTTTCATCTGTGGGTAAACGGAGACTCCCGAGGAGCGGACAGGCCCAGTGGGAGCGCCCAGGCAGCAGCAGGAGGGGGAGCAGAATGTAAGTCTCCTGGCCGCGTCCGGTATTCTTCCTCAGTCCCGCACCCTTCTCCTGGGGGCCCCTTGAGAAAGGTCGTACTCTATACGGAGCCCCCCATGCTCAGTGGCTGCACTGGTCGGGTTCTTTTCCTCAATGCATCTCTCTGAGCTGTCCCACCTGTTCCCACCCTCTACTCAGTGTCTGTGGCTCTCTCTCCCCTCTCCCCAGCCCAGACTTCAATACACCTGCAATATCCGGGAGTGAGGGCGGACTGTAACTTAAAACAGCCAAATAAAACACAACCCCTTGCCCCCCTACCCCCCTGCCCCTTCCCATTGAGATTATTACATTTTAAACCTAAAATATTCTACTGTCAGAGCTAACACGAGTCTTGCAACCCCACTGTTTGAATAGAAAGTGTCTCTTAAAAAGGAAACAAAACACCCAGCAGCCTTTCACGCTGCAGCTTTCAGCTTTCAGCAAGTCCCAGAAGGCGGAGCCAGATAGGGCCAGAGGATTGCCAGGAACCAGGCCCTGTCCCAGGCCTGCCCACAGCCCTCCAGCTGCCCAGTTCCATGCTGTCGTTCTAACAGCTCTGACACCCTTTTTCTTGGCCCTAAGTACTTGGGCACAAAGCAAAACTCACCAGCTGCTACGGTCTGCCCCAAACAATCAGGCCTTGACTGAACAGCAATTGTCTAACTTCTTAAAAACTACCCAAAAGCTCCCCTCCCTGACCCGCCAGCCCTTACATGCAAACTTCTTCCCAAGGGGGGGAGTGACTGTGAGGACATCAGAGGGGGCGTTGTTGTCTGCTCGGTCCCTCCCGGGGATGGGTGTTCTGCCCTTTGGGGTGTTCCACATCTCGGAACCAACTCTAACCATCATTCCTTCCAGCTCACCTTTTAAATCTAAAGTCTACAACTGTGCCACATCACCTCTAGGAGGTTTCTAAGGGAAACCAAAACCAGCCATCCTAACTCACTCTTCCATATGCATGTCAAAATCACTTAAGCTGATGCAGAAGCTGAGTCCTAGAACTTTAATCCGGGGGGTCTGGGCAAGGACCAGGAGTCCGCATTTTAACCCGACTCTCAGATGACTGAGTGGGAGGGATGCAGATAACACTTTGAGAAACAGCGGATTAGAACTTACACTTTACAAAGTCGGTTCACAAACATAAACTCCTCGGTCACCCTCCCTGTAAGGGGGATATCTGTGTCATTGTTATTTTCTGACCAAGGAACCCAAGGCTTTGAAAGATCAACAGACTTGTCCAGGTCAGACTACAAATCAGCTCTGTGACTGATTAAGCGCCAGAATACAGGCATTCTCCTTTACCCTTCACAACCTGTAAATCAGAGGAGCCAGGCCTCAATCTAGACCCAAGCCCCAGCTTTCACCCTCTTTGAAATATATGCATCGATTCTCGTTACCTGCAGTAAAGTTCTACAAAATTGGCCACAAACACTGGATTAGCCGGTACTGAACCATTGCTCCTGAGGAAAATACAGCGCCAGGCTCCTGCCAGCCTCCGTTCGCAATATTTTTGTCAACCAATGAATACATAACCTTGTGCGATGTGAGTTTCTGTTTAAAGACACCTTCTTTAATATATATCATTGGCTCATTAACATTGAATGCATGGCCAACAGTGCTCTAACTCACGCGTGAATGAAGCTCATGGAACACATGTATTTTCCATGTCACAGCCTCCTGCACTTAGGAACACTAGACAGCTCTGCAGCACTAGTCTTGGAGGCCATCTTATTTTATTTTTATAAATATATATATTTTTTTATTTCAGAGAGGAAGGGAGAGGAAGAGAGATATAGAAACACTAATGATGAGAGAGAATCATGGATTGGCTGCCTCCTGCATGCCCCCTACTGGGGATTGAGCCCATAACCCGGGCATGTGCCCTGACCAGGAATCAAACCGTGACCTTCTGGTTCATAGGTCAATGCTCAACCACCAAGCTACACTGGCTGGGCTTGGAGGCCATTTTAAACAGCGAAATCAACAACAGATAGCCCCAAAATACAAAAAAAGAAAAGAAATCAGCCCGTGGCATTAAATACACTACAAAAAAGACACTTGTTTATATATGGTGTGAGAGCTGAAACCAGAGGGCAGAGCGCCACCTCGTTTGACTTCAGCTGGGAACAGACTCAAATTTTTCACCACTGTGCGTGGGCCCGTGAGTGACCGTGGACGTGCTGCGAGTGTTGGTTTGGGGGTGAACATAAATTTGAGTTAGTAGGTGGATCTGCAAGTGTGGAGTCCACGAATCATGAAGGCCGACTGCACATGCTTGCGAGTGGGTGGTAGCATTAAGGACCAGAGAGCTCGCAGCCCCTTCACCGTCTTCTCTGCAGTCTGTCTTGCTGGGAGGGGAGCGCATTGTGGGCCTTTGGGACCCAGGCAGGTGCCCGCCTCACTACTGGCTCCCTCCCCCACTGTCCCACCACACACCCCTGGCCTTTTCCGGGCAGAGGCCCCAGCACTGTGCTGGAGCCAGGCTGCTCTGTCCCTGACACCCAACTCAGTGGTCTGGACCCACATCCCCGTGGGTGGTGCAGATAGAGCATCTACAGAAAAAAAAAATTCCTAGGCACTGTCCTTCTCCCCAGGCTGGCTTCGGGGCTGCCTCTCTCCTGTTCAGGGGTGTCAGGAGGACCCAAGCCAGACAGGAGCTGAGTTTAAAGCCCCTGCTGCCGCCATGAGGAACAGAAGGCAGAGGAGTTTCTAATTATTTGCACCTTTGGATTATTTCCAGGGCTGATCACAGCGAATCTCCTAAACCAGCAGCCTGGCGGGACCCGCTGGCAGTGCCTGGGTTAACGCTGTGACCTCCTTAAGGGAAGCTGCTGAGGAGTCAGGTCTAATTTTATCCCATAGCTGGATCTGCCAGCCCCTTTTTGCCAAGTGCCGAGGTATCTCGGGAAGCCCAGAGTCAGCACTTCTGGCGGCTGGGAGCAGCGGCAGCCCTGCTTTTTGCCGAGAGCAGAAAGCCGGAGCTGGCTCGCCGCTCAGCCCAGAGCCCGGGTCTGGGGGTTTAGATGGCAGCAGGTGGGTTACTGCTGTGCTGGGGCCATGGTTCTTCCTCGCTTCCTGCCGACTCCCGCCCCGACGCATCCTGTACTGAGCTGCCCCGAGCCGGGTGCAATGAAGAACCTCGGGGCAGCTCAGTACAGGATCCCTCAGGGAGGACGAGGTCAGAGGGGGCCGCTGAAGCCCCTGGCACCACAGGGCCCGCTGGAACATCTTCATGGCCCTGCTTCACGACACATCACCGCACACCAGGCTTCTCAGCCACACGGCCCCATGCTCACGCACGCCATGCACCAGGGCCCCACGGCCCTCCTGGCCTGTCGGGACAACACCACCACCCCTGGGCCCTCGAACTTCGCCCTTTCCTAGAAAGCAGGGGAGCGACAGGTTCCAAGAACCACCAAGGAGAATGGAGGCCTTAGGTTGGAGGGGACGTCTGCAGGGCTCCAGGTTCAAGGGACAGTCAGTTCTAAGTCTGTCACTGTGGGTTGGACTAGCACAGGCTAGACAGACTCAGCTACCCTCTCTGATGCCCTGTCCCCATCTCCAGGTCCCCACTGCTTGGTTGCCAGGGTGATGTTACTACGGCGATTACCAAGCGCTGTCACTCATCCAAGCATTTTTCAACTCTGTACTTTTGCACTTCCTGAGAGGTAGGTCAGCAGCTAGTGTTGACTCTGTTTTCTGGATGAGGCAATCGAGAGTCAGAGACACAGTTGGAAGGTGGGGATGAGAATCCATGCCCCTGGACCACAGCAACGCTGCCACCCTGCACCATGAAGGGAGGGGCGGGTGAGATGTGAGCAGCCATCGCCGGGCCCAGCCACTCCACGAAGACCAAGCCATGCAGAAAGGATGCAGAAAGACTGTTACCTCCAGAGAGGCCATTTGAGGGGGGTGCTCGAGATCACTGCTTCCCCCTTTTCAGGCTTGCCCGCTTCACTATCTGAGCCCCCTTCCTGCCCTCTATCAGGTCCGGCTGCAGGCTATTCCCTCTCCGCTCCACCTGGAGACAGTAGCAGAAACAGAACACAGGACAGATTGCACAGAGAGACAGGTAACAAGTGGGCAAGAGAATGAAAGGCATCATCCGGAGGGGGTGGCAACACTGCCTCCCGGGGAGAGGAAGGCTCGAAGGGGAACCCAGACGGGTGAGCACAGCGCAGACTGGAACCCGAAGTGCCGGGCGCAGAGGCGAGCAGCAGGTACAGGTGCCGGGCCACTCGGAAGAGCGAGTGCCTCAGAGGCTGCGGCCACCACAGTACCTTGATGTGTCTCATAAAGTTATCAATATCAACTTCCATCTCCCCAGGATCTTCCGGGGGCCCCTCGACAATCACCTCCTCGTGCTCCTGGGTGTCATCGCCACCAGACGACTCTATCTGCCGAACAACTTTGCGGATGATCTGGAAAAGAGAGGGCGGGGAGAAAGGGCTGGCGAAGCCATCAGGACGGAGCTCGAAAAGAGCGGGTTCCCAGGAATGAAGTTGGGGGAGAGGCAGCCTTTGTCCTCAAGTGGCAAGAACAGGGATGGGTCTCTCACTCCCAGCACTGTGTGGAAACACTCGCGTTGGACAGCCTCAGAGGGACTAGAATTTGCAGAGGGGTCTTAGCAGGTTTTCAATGACACGGTTGGACCATGCGTAACTTCTGTCTTAGCCCACCGCAGTTCCTCTGCCTCTTGGTATGGATGGCAGTTTACGCTGTCTGTCATACTTGTACGCCTATGAGCTCCTGAGGGCAGAGGACATTTCCTTTTCAACTATGGTAATTCAATGCCATCGACCCATTCCCTTATTCATTCATCTAAGTAGTCTAGCAACTGTTTACTCTGCACCTACCATGTGCTAGGAGGGGGGGATGAAAACATAAACAAGCATGACCCCTGCCCGCACGGAGCTCGTGCGCTGAAGGACAGACGGACATAAGGGGTCTGCTCCAATGTAGTGTGACAGCACCCTAGGGGAGCACGTACGAGGTCTTCCCTTTGCTCCTTCTTCTCCCTTCTGCCCAAACCTAGCAGAGTGCTCAACCCTAGACAGGCAACTTCATGTCTACCGAGTTAAAGTCTGCTGCCAACTCAATGCATTTCCACATCCTTTTCATTTTAAGAGGCCAGTGATAGTCTGGGGACCACCATACTGCTGTCCTACAGCTATTTTCAGGGCTGGGCATCACAGGACTAGGTCTGGGCTGTTCCATGGGCCTCGGTCCTTCTGGAAGAGTGAGGCAGGAGCTCAGTTCAGGCTGAATCCGGGCAAAGTGGCTATGAAGAGTGTCACGTCCGGATCACGGAGGACAGGAGCCCATGGCACCTGAACTGTCCCAGCTGAGCCATGCTTACCCCTCTGTGAGGGAGGCGGGTCCATGGCCTGCCCTTTAGCCTTTGGCCTGCGTGCCTCCCCCTAGTTCAGGGGACTCTCTGCACCCACCTTTTTGGTGACAATGTTGCCCTGCTCATCTGTGAATTGTTCCTCAGTCACCTGCTCCCCTGGAATATTCTGAAGCTCACTCCCCTGCAATTAGAGAAAGGGAGAAAACTCAGGATTCATAAGCAGGAGTCTGGGAACAGGATTAGAGGATGAGGAGATAGAATAGCAGCAGCAGCAGCCACAGCCACAGTCCGACAAATCCCCACCCCGGCAGGAAACTCCAACGCAGCAGGTAGAGGCAGCCAAACCACCCGCCCCAAGTGCCCAGAGCTTTGTGTGCGGTCCCCACAATAGCACCGGGGAGCAGGCAAACAGGGCCGATTATGCAAGTTTCACCGAGAAGAGTAAGAGGAAGTGAGGCGCCTAATTTGCATTTCTACAGCACTTGACAGTGAAGAAGCCCTCCACAGACACCATCACACTGTGTGTAACTTGAGGACAGAGCAGGGTGAGGCCGGCTGAATCCCAGAGCTGAGCTTTGTCGGCCCTCGCTGAGGGGTGGCTCTGCTCCCCTCAGGCCTTCCTGTCCCTTCTCTTCCAACACATCTCCTGACCTGGAGGCCGGCGCCTTGCCCCAGCTCGTCCCGACACATCCCTGCACTGTGCCCTCAGCCCGGCCTCCTGACCTTCTGGCCTCCGCACGCCCACCTCCAGCTCCAGGCCTGCCTTGTGCCGCCGGCCTGGCAATTACCTTGAAGAGGACCCGACGCCGGACCACCCTGGTGGAGATGGTCTCCTCGTCGTCACTCAGGCCCTCGTTCTCCCCCAGCTCCTTGTCCAGTTCCTGGTGGATGTGCTTCAGCACGAAGCACAGAGAGCCCTTAAAAATGTGCATCACGTTCTGACAGCTGACCAGGAAGAAGCTCAGGAGCACCAAGGTGACCAGGAGCTGGGTGATGAAAGTCCACATCCTCACCAGCCCGCCCTCCGGGCGCCAGTGGAGCCAGGGCTCTGGCCGCTGCAGGGGTGCCACCTCTCATTCTCCTCTTGGACCCCCGAGGCCTCCTGGGACCCCTCCCATCCTCGCTCCTCAGGCTCCCACTCTTTCTCTCCAGGCAGAACACCGACCGGCCCTTCACTGGAACTGCCCGCCTGAGTGTCCTGCTGCTGAGCAGCCCCAGGCTCTACCCTCCTGCCTGGGTGACGTCAGGCTTTGATAATTTTAGCTTCCAACCCAGCTGCTGGGGCTGTCCAACGGGGCGAGAAGAAAGCCGGCAGGTGTGTGTGTCCCGGGCACTGGGAGCACATGTCAAAGTCACTGTGGGAGACCCCGCCCCGCCCCACCGAGAGCCTGAGGAGGGACACGGCCCCTCACCTTTCCTGCCTGCCCGCCCCCATGGAACTAGAGGCAGCTCTGCCCAGGGAAGCGTTCTTGTTCAGGGACTCCACAAAATAAACGTCCGGAGAGTAAGTGTCCGCAGTTACGCGTGTGTTTACCAGTGTGATGGTGCCTGATCAGAATGATGTTCTCCCCGTCTCATGGGGATGGGACCAGCTAGTACCCTGGAGGGTTAGGGGTTTATTTCAAAAATAGCGCTGGGATAAGTGATTTGCCCAGGCCCAGCGCAGCAGGGTCCAGCACGGGTGGCGGGGCTGTGCAGTTCCCATCAGCCTCTTCACCGGGCACAGCAACCCTAAATGTAAGCGTGTAACCGGCGTGTCTATTTCAGGCCTGTCCTCAAAGGCTCTTCCCATGCTGACTGTCAATGCCCGCCCACGAAGAGCAGGAACCACGCGCATTAAGCCCGTCTTTACAGAGCTGATTCACAAATGCGGCCGCAGCAGCTGTGGCTGAAAGGAATTCACTTTTGGGATCAGGCTGTTCCTCCACGTGGCAGAGAGAACAAAGATCTGGGACACAGCACACTGACCTGACAACGCCCTCACTGTGGGGAGTTGGGGAAGCTGGGTGTCTCCTCTGGGCCTCAGTTTCCTCCTCCCTTAAAAGAGGGTGAATTAAAGTGCTCTTGAGAGTGCTGTGAAGACCACAGGGCTGTGAGTACCACCACTATCCTACATAATAAAAGGCTAATATGAAAATCGACCGAACGGCTGAACAACCAGTCGCTATGACGTGCACTGACCACTAGGGGCAGATGCTCAACACAGGAGCTGCCCCCTGGTGGTCAGTGCGCTCTTACAGGTGGAGCGCTGCTCAGCCAGAAGCTGGGCTCATGGCTGGAGAGCGCAGCGGCAGTGGTGGGAGCCTCTCCTGCCTTCATGGCAGTGCTAAGGACCCCTTGGGGGACATCCCCTGAGGGGTCCCGGACTGTGAGAGGGCATAGGCCGGGCTGAGCCCCCCCCCCCGAGTGCACAAATTTTGTGCACTGGGCCTCTAGTCAATAATAACAGCAAACACTTTCACATACTAACTCAGGTTAGCCTTGCAATGATCCTACCATGCAGGCTCTATCACCTCCCACAGAGGAAAAGGAGGCACAGACAGGTTAAGGCACTTGCCTATGTGAAAGGTAAGTAAACGAAGGAGTCAGATTTCAAACTCCCGCCACCACCATGGCACAGCATTGCCTCATTTCAACAAGAAAGCACTGGGAAAATAGAAGCTACAGCATATCTGGTTTTGGCCCAGCCAAGAAGAGTCTAATTCCAGGTATTTCCCCCCAGGTCCTAAGGGGAGGACTGGCTGGCTCACGGTCATTTCAGTCCTGCCTGCCAAGCCCCAAATGATGAGGCATCTCTCTCTCTCTGTGTCACTGTCCTCAGAGATTCACTGGAAATACTGGCAAATGGGTGCTTTGTAAACCGTCACCTTAAATGGACCTCGTGATCATCCCCTGGGTCCTGCCAGATGATTATGACAACAGCTCATCCACACCATCCAATCCTGTCCTAGGCTGGGGAGGCGTTAGGTGTGCCTGCCCCCCTTCCTTCCCCCCACCCCTGTAATGACACGCCCACTGGGAAAAAGGAGGAGGTCTGGCCTCTCCTGGTTCATCGTGTGACCCTGGACACACCCTCAGCCACTCTGGGCCTCAGTTTCCTCATTTATAAACGAGTCAGATGGACCAAATGACCTAGAGCAGTGGTTCTTAACCTTCCTAATGCCGCGACCCTTCAATACAGTTCCTCATGTTGTGGTGACCCCCAGTTTCATTGTTACAAATTGAACATAATTAAAGCATAGTGATTAATCACAGAAACAATATGTAATTATATATGTGTTTTCCGATGGTCTTAGGCGACCCCTGTGAAAGGGTCGTTCGACCCCCAAAGGGGTCGCGACCCACAGGTTGAGAACTGCTGACCTAGAGGGTTTCTCCCTTGATCCTCTGGGGTGATCCTGCTTTCCCCCCAGGCTTTCCCTCACCAAAGGCTGACTGCAGAGGAAAGGTGGAAAATATCGCTCCTGCAGTCTTTCTCTTTCCCCAGGAGTCAGGAGTCCAAACCCGGTTAAGAGCTCCTGTGCTCTGGGCCGAGCACTTGCTACTGGGAGCAGCAGCAGTGGGACCAAGGAATAGCTCGATAGCAAAACGTGCACCGGGGTGGGGCTGGGGTTAAAATGGACGCAGCC